ATATATATATATATATATATATATATATATATATATATATATATAACCGGGCCTCGAGGTCGGCCCAAATGGTCCTCGTATTGGTCCGGTTGGGTCGATGTGGCAGACCGGCCCATGAACAGGTTGACTTCGCGTGCATAAAAGGGACGGGAGCGGGGAGGGTTTCCACCACCCGCCGCCGATCCTCGATTCTTCGACAACCCCAAGAGGAGGCAGTGGCCAGAGGAAGGCGGGCGTCGAACGTTCGACAAGATGGGGTACGTTTCAGCCATAGCCCGGTCCTGGATCTTGTTCCAGTTTCCTTATCGTTTTCTAATGCTACGTTCGAACTGTTTGTCTAGGGTTCTTATGGATCAGTTTATGTTTCTCTTTTTTCGTCGGGAACTCTATAATCCTTCTTGGTTCACCTACCCTTTCACCTCTTGTTGTTCTTGGATCTCATGTATTCGGTGTCGGATGGAGGATTGAGTGATCTTTTATGCGGATTTTCGGGCTTCGATCTCGAGTTCTGGCTTTCGCCTATTTAGGATCTTAGATAAGAGAACCGGGGGAGAAACCGAAATCGAGTTGATGTTTTGAAAAATTCGAATCACCATTTGGATGGGGTTTTGAGCAATGGATGACTGCAATATGTATCTGTCTGTGTGTGTGTGTGTGTGTGTTTCTGAATGCTCAAAAGATCATCTTGTTTTGCCAAGCGTATATTTCAAAAAATTTGGCATATGGAGTTTGGCTACTTGGCACTTTTGGTTTGATTGGCAAAGTTTTTTGTAATTATTGATGACTGTATGTATAATATTTAGAGATAAAAACGTTGTTTTTGATTATAAGTTAAGTTAGTAAATTCAATCAATTGCTTGTGCTTGAGTAATATATATGATCAGAAATGAAAACCAAGTTTCTAGTGCGCCTCTAAACATAAGAGTGATCATAAAGAGAACTTGTTTGATTAAAGAGAAATGTCTTTTCATCAACTGTAAGCTCTGTTGCAGGAAGACTCGTGGTATGGGAGCTGGGCGCAAGCTCAAAACTCACAGGAGGAGGCAGAGATGGGCAGACAAGGCATACAAGAAAAGTCATCTCGGCAACGAGTGGAAGAAGCCCTTTGCTGGTTCTTCGCATGCCAAGGGTATTGTTCTTGAGAAGATGTAAGTTTTATAATGCTTATTTACTTTTCATTTTCTAATTTTGGTGTTGCTTATGTTTGGAGGACTGACATTAGATTGGCTCTTGCAGAGGAATTGAAGCCAAGCAGCCCAACTCCGCTATCCGAAAGTGTGCTAGAGTCCAGCTGATAAAGAATGGGAAGAAAATTGCAGCCTTTGTTCCTAATGATGGTTGCTTGAATTTTATAGAAGAAAATGTAAGTTTTAGATTCATCTAGCAATTCTATATGCCATTATGCTTTCCAGATGAATGGTCTATGCACTTGTTAACAAGGATTTAGTTATAAGAGGTAGTATTGGACTGGTCTTGTGCAAACTGATATGCACTGGTCAGTAATGATATGGCAAAGGTCTCATGGCAACCATACATCAGTCACATTGTGTTATGATCCTAGTCGATTGGATAATTGTTACATTAACTAATATGCCTCGAATCACATGTCGAAAATTACTTGAGCCCAAGTTGATGGTAGAACACCGATCAAGTATTATTCCTTTTTTTTTTTTTTTGATATAGGACATGGTCTGAGACCGATATTAGTATCTGCTTCGAATAGTCTGTTTGTGCCCTAGATTAAATGCCTTGCTTGTCGATATCATCAGCTGATAACTTCAACTTCTAATAGTAGTCTGTTACTAAGCTGCATTACTTTTGCAGGATGAAGTCTTGATTGCTGGATTTGGAAGGAAGGGCCATGCCGTAGGTGACATTCCTGGAGTAAGGTTTAAGGTTGTGAAGGTTTCTGGTGTGTCCCTGTTGGCCCTATTCAAGGAAAAGAAGGAGAAGCCTCGGTCTTAATAATGGATCTGCTAGAGTTTCCAGATGAACCATTGTTTGGCTCCATATTATGCACTTAGTTCTATATGACTCTTTCTATAGTTACTGATGAACTGCTTTTGAAGACGTGTTTTTTTATGGTTATTCATCCTTTAGCACTTACCCTCTTCCACCTAGTTGTAGTTGAGGACACCCTCTCCTCCCCCACCCCCAAGTCCACTTTCACTTGGAACTCTCCACCACACGTAAGAAGCACTCCATCGCCATGCTCGACCCGTTCACGGCCACACTCGCCCTATGCTCCAATGGCCTCTTGCACGACGGTGAATATGTGGACGAGCTCTGATTAGTGCCCGATGTTGTGCCACAAAGATGGTGTCCATCGTCGATCGGTTCTGACTCATCGACTTGTATAGCTCCTGCAAGGCGGTGTGATCGACTTGTATAGCTCCTGCAAGGCGGTGTGCTTCATTGTGAACGCTATGGTCAGCCTTCTTCAGACTGGGTTGTTGGTTTTCCTCAATCATCGGCTTGACCCAAACAACATCTGACGCATCTGTGTCGGTATCGACGGTGATGCAGAGCGACGAAAGGGTCGCTCAATGAGAGATGATGTCAGAATTAACGTGGTAGCGGGGGGAGCGATGGAAGCTCCAATGATCCTAGCTTTGTGTTGAGGTTGGGATTCGCCCAATTGATCAGCGATGAGGTGACCACCATATTCGATGTAGAGATCGTAGCAGCCACCATCATCTGCGTTGATGTCAACGCAATTACCGAGCGACAACTACGTTAGTGTCGACGTACATGTAGAGCAACGCGAGGCGGGCGACGATGAGGTCAGTAACGTGCTCCTCGTGGAGGCGGGTGGCATCGCGATGAAAGCTATCCTTATCGTTGTTGGAGGTGGTCAGGCAATTGCATCAGCGTTGATGCCAAAAACTTTATCGTCCATCATTAAATGTTAAAATTATCTTTTTACTTTTTTGTTTTCGTCGATAAAATTGATGTTATTTGGATAAATATACCTAAATATTTCACTTTCGTGATTATAGGAATGCTAATATAATTTTTTAAATTATAGAGATCGAAATACTAAACATAGCTACTTAGAATGGGTAATATGTAATTAGTCTCTTTGAACCTTCGACGATGTCAACAATCAAATGATTGTTCAAATTTCGTTTTCTACGATCAAGCTAAGAAGCGGTCAACTAATCTCGCCTTTCCTTTAGCAAAAAGAATAAAAACAATAATAATAATCTCGCCTTTCATTTTCTACGATCGAGCTAAGAGACGGTCCGCATAGGTATTTTTCTTATTATGAAACGATTGTTATTAATGGCCAGCCTTATGTCATGATAGGACCAGGAGGTTTTGAGAGAAAGTGTTGAACGGACTTCTAAAGCGGGGAGGTGTAACGAGAAAAAACCCTGATGGGACTAATGCTCATAGTGGGAATTGATATGCTTACAAGAGAGGATATCGAAGAATTACAGGGAAGCAAGATAGGACCAGGAGGTTTTGAGAGAAGGTGGTTAGCTAGCCACGTATCTATCATATGTCAATAACATCATCCTCAAATTTCATATTACCTTAGTGTCTCGAATTTTGAATTTAAAAAATTATATTAAAATGTCTATAATTATGAAAATAAAATATCTAACTCTATTTACTGAAATAAAAAAATAATAGATTAAAAAATAATTTTAATATTTTAAAGGAGAGGAGAAAGAGGACGACGTAGATGTCGATGCTCATCTGCATCGATACTGCTTGATAACTACATCGGTGTCGCTCTACAACCCCATCCTCCGGCTTTAGCCTACCATCTCGTGTTGTTGATTTGTGATCGTTTACTGAGAATCTGTGCTTCTTGGCCCAAGGCACCATAGTGGACTCGGAGGTGGAGAGATAAGAGCTAGAGGACAAGGAGGCCACGGAGTACGAAGAGAAGATAGTAGAATCAAGATCACAGGAAGTGCAAATGGAGTGGACCCACCGCGGACCTACGTCAGAGATGCAATAGCCAGTGTCAAGAGAGTGACAAGTGACATAGGTGACCTGGTGGACATGGCAAGCCATAAAGAAGTTGGTGCCATGGACGAAGATGTCGTAGGCCTAATAAAGGAAGGTTGTGTTCTGCATTTGCGTTAGCGCCAATGCAGTTACCGTGCAACATCGACGTAGATGCAGAACGTCGACGTCTGCGTCGTCCTCTTCCTTCTCTCCCTTTGTCGCTTTTCTCGTCATTGCTCTTCCACCTCATCTACAATAATCACCTACAAGTCCCAACAACACCATCGTCTGTCGTTACTATTGAAAACATAATTGAGATATTAAAATTATATTTTTACTTATCGTTCGTATTTTCATTGATAAAACTAATGACATTAGAATAAATGAAACTAGATGTTTTACTTTTATATCTATATGAATTTTAATATAAATTTTTAAATCTAAATATAAAATATTAAAAAGATGAAAAATAATTTTTAATTATTAACCCTAACATTGAAGCGACAACGCCAGGTTGGTGAGCATTCTTGATTGGTCATTTCTAGGTATACTAGGAAAGGTGTTTGTTCCGATTACGGACGAGTGGTTCGCTTGATCTTTGCAAGTCGGATGCTGACAAAAGGAATGAAGTGGCCGACAAAGTTGGCAACATTCTTATCGCTCACAACCACTTGATCTTTGTTGAACGGCTGACATTATTGTTGCCTCCTGTAGCATCATACTCTTTTCATGGTCACCGTGAAGTGTGTTAGAATTAATGGTGCATGAAGCACGGCACAAATGATACTTTTTGTCTCAGGATAAAGAGAGGACTTTTCACAGCTTTCTGGTTCACATAGACACACATCGACCACCACTGTTTATCCTTTAATATATTTGTTTCAGTCACACCGCTCGTAATGTTATTTCCTCCTCATCGACTCCTGATAATAGCAGTTCATTTGAGAGCGCAGCATCATAATCACCTTTTCCTGCAGTATCCACGAGAAAAGACCCAATAAGAATATATGAGTCGTCTATGCAATGCAATAATGTAGCAGTTGGCTTTTCTGAGGTTTCCTTTATTTTTTTCTTCAGCTCAAAATAATGTTATTTTGATCTTTGTAAACACTACCAGTATCTATGCCACTCCGATTCAGACTTCTTAATTTGTGCTGCGAAAAGAAAATTTTGATATCATTGTGTTCCTTCCAAACTAGATTCCTTTCTACTCTTGTTCACAAAAAAGTGTTTACCAATATCTATGCCACTCCGATTCAAACTTCTTAATTTGTTTTGCAAAAAGAAAATTTTGATATCATTGTGTTCCATCCAAACTAGATTCCTTTCTACTCTTGTTCACAAAAAAGTGTTTGCCAATATCTATGCCACTCCGATTCAAACTTCTTAATTTGTTTTGCGAAAAGAAAATTTTGATATCATTGTGTTCCTTCCAAACTAGATTCCTTTCTACTCTAGTTCACCAAAAAGTGTTTACCAATATCTAGGCCACTCCGATTCAGATTTCTTAATTCGTGCTGCGTAAAGAAAATTTTGATATCTTTGCGTTCCTTCCAAACTAGATTCCTTTCTACTCTAGTTCACCAAAAAGTGTTTACCAATATCTAGGCCACTCCGATTCAGATTTCTTAATTCATGCTGCGTAAAGAAAATTTTGATATCTTTGCGTTCCTTCCAAACTAGATTCCCTTCTACTCTTGTTCACCAAACCAAAAAGCAAGTGCCGCATGAATGAATGATACCAAGAATAAATAAATAAATTTGCCACGATTATCAGTATTATGATTACTTGTTCAAGTATTTCTTTTCCCCAGAGATGCTCATGGCTATATAATAAAAGATTTGGGAGCGTTCTTAAGATCAATTTTGTGTCCAAATAAGGAACTGATAAATAAGCCTGATCCAATAATATACATCACCTGTTACCAAACCTATGACAGTCCCTCGTTTGATTTAGCAGCTTGAAGCATTTCCACTATAAGAGTCTTCACATCCCTACATCAAAACAAGAAAACTTGGTCAAGGTAATAAGCTCAGATCCGTAAGGCAACTTTCTTAAGGCAATTAATTAAACTAAGAAACAGGGCAAATTGATGATTTCATGGGTCTAATATTGCCAAAATGCTTTAGCATGTGAAAATTAGAATTTGCAAAATCACTAAACATGACCTACTTCCTGTCTTGAGCACGTCTAGGGAATGGGATGCGAAGTTTCAAAGTACTTCCTTGATAACCAGCCTGCATAAAAGATGTGCCACAGCTTCAGTCTTCAGTGAAGATACAAAGTAAGAGAACATCCTTTGATACACTAAGCATAAAGATGGAAATAGAAATTTGTCTCAAAGATAATCAGAGCAAATAATATTTGGTATAAAATGCCCAACTAATCAGTTTAAGCACAAAATTCCTGCCAAGCAGAGAATACATATGCAACTGTACCCTTTTGGAAGCAGCTCTTTTCGCTAACAATATTGGTAAATTCTTAAATAATTATATATTAGCTAATCACAGTGTAGACAATCTCTAGTTTGTTGCACAAGTGACCACTATGCTGTTATTAGCAACTTCCTAAATTTCATGACAGAAAATGTTGAAGTGCAATTTACAATGATTTGTATGCTTTGTCTGAGACTATTAAAACTTAGAACATAATTCTGACATGTATTGGCCTAATGATAGGGTTCCTTTGATAATTAAAATATTCTTGCCCAAGGGATGTTACTTGATGAATACAATAAACAGCATACAAATAATACAAACTTGTCTGATAATACCAGACGCTTCCAGATGTTCAGAAGAAGTTCCAAACTTCCAATATCAAATCCAAAGGAGTTCAGATCGATAGGCTTGGACTGAACTACAAAGTGTAAGGAATTGGATTCAGAGACACTTCACTGAGTCCATTGTGCCATTCATGTAAAGGCTCGATGTCACTGATTAATTGGATTATGTTGAGAAATTTTATAGTTTACAATCCTGGCCCAGAACATATGATTAAACCCTGTCCGAGTCGATTTGGGGAATCATTGTGGTTCCATTGCCACAAGCTTTGATTTCATTCCCGTTGCTGACCATATCCCTTAAGGAAATGACTCCTTAAAGAATTAGAAGAGTCTGGATGGATAAACAGCTAAAAGAGCATTGTGAAGCTGGGCTCGTAAGCGCTGTTGGCTGAAACCCATGAAACCTAAAGTTGCACCACATTAATCTGCAAAATTGTCAGGCTGCAGGCCATAGTTTAATTTTTTTGGTCAGAAACATAAGCAGAAAAGTAAACAATATTTTTTGGTCAAGAAGAAAAAATAGTTAAAAGTGGCAGCTTCCATTGTTCTTCTTCTTATTTTGCTCTCCCAGGTAAAAGTCATGCAAACAGTATTATAATGAGATTAAAAATTGTTATCCTAATGAGTAACTACTATGGCAATACTACCAAAAAAGGGCATGGTTTAAAATGTCAGTAGGACTATTTACCATCTAACAAAGCATTGATAATGAAGCATACGACTTGGTACCTTGGTATACTGCTTACATTTTTGTGGTGATACTGGCTGGTACAAGTCAGTAATTCTGCTCAATATCTTGGTATTAAACCAGTCTCAGAGGTTGACAAATTCGATTTAGATCAGTGCTCATAACTCGGATGCAGCACATTATCAATTTGGCACTAAAGGCCTCTCTTTGTCTGCAGTTATCTTCGGTCCTTCTCCTATGTATTCTATTATATTTCTAATATTGGTCCATCAGATATACAAATGTTTTACCTAATTGAAGCTGATGTAAATTTATTATAAACATTAAATAGCACAACTTTAACTTTCTGTTTGGTTGCACATTCCACGTAAATACCATTTTCACACTATTTTAGTAAATGATATGAAGGCCTTCAGTTGATTCTATAAACCCACATAGTCTAAGCAACTAGGTATGGAGTGCCATTTCTCAGTCCACCTTACCATGAAATTTTGCTGCTGTAGTCACAAGCTTAAGAGTCAACACCTTTAGTATGTTATAGATAATGTATTTTGCATATTTTGGTTCTCAACAAATATCATATATGGAGAATGATAAAAGAGAGCATTAAACCTGTTATATAGAAAGAAGAATCATAAACACACTCAAATGAGCTACCACCTTTACATTGAAGCCAAGGCTATCCACATCTTGCATGTGAGCAAAGTCCACCTGAAAACATCATTCTTAGATTAGGTCCTAAGTGAACAGAAAAGACAAACATTTAGGTAATCCTAGCCACACAAGCACATAAATGCAGCTCTTCTCACAAAAAATTTCATCAGGAAAATATAGTTTTTCTTTAATTACCTTTACTGAGGTTGAATGTTGTACAATGGCTTTTGTATCTTCTTGATGATCCCTATTCATGTGGGACTAGCAAAGCAAGAACAAGTTAGTAATAAGAATACCCAGGAACTGAAGAAATGATGGTTAGAATACCGTGATAGGCTTTGTAAATTGAGATATTGGATCAACTTTGGCAGCTTTATATTCCTCACCATCAAATTCTAGTGACAAAATCATTATGAGCAACATATTTGACATGAAATTTGAATGTATAATTAACTAAGCTGAGTCTCAGCCTCCACAAGAGGTTTGAGATTTGGGGCTGAGAAACCAATCAAAATCATAATACCAACATGTGGATTACCTCCCGATCCCAGTAGAGCTGTGGCAACGCCAGAAACATAGCGCACATATTTTGGTTTGATGTGGATGAAACTGAAGTCACCAAAGTCAACCTTTGATAGAAAAAATATCCCTTACCTCCATGAAAAAGACAGAACTGCAAATGCATAATGGATTTTAAAAAGTTGACAATTACCCAAAATGCATCTGGATGTCTTCTTAGATAAGCAGCACGTGCAGCTTCATTATCATCTTCAGAAACCTAACAAGAAGGTTATGTTGCAGAAAATTTGAACCAAGAGGTCTCAATAATAGGACAATGTTGTGTGAGAAAAGAAGAAAAAAAACTAGAAAAACAGTGCATTTTACCACAACAAGATTATAAAATATGCAACTCAGAAGTTAAGAACAGGCATAGCAAACAAGTCTTATGTCACCTACTGGAAATCTATGTTATCTTAGGAAATGATATGGCTTTAGGCACTTTAGAGTCTAGACTGCAAGTGAAGTTATCATAATTGACTACTATATAAAAAGGAGAACTGTAGAAAATTAACAGGCACATAACAAATGGGCATTGAAAAATGCATTTATTTTCCAATACACATTTAATCCTTATAACTCTTTATTACTTAGGTTGCAATATTCAATAACATTAATGACTTGAAAGCTCATAAAAGTGAGAACCTAAGAGGTCTCTGGAAATTGGAATTATTAAGTGACAGTCAAGGCTGCAGAACCAATGAAATAAAGCCATTTCCCCGAACAAAGACAATCCTGTGTGTCTCTTGGGTAATCAGGATACGATTACATACTCTAGTCAAACAGTGCTAAGTGAACATCATCCACCCAAACACTTTACGGAAGAAGAAAGAGAAAATTTTACAAACCGGAACAGCATCCCCATATATGGTGACAACTATATCAGTCCTATCTTCAGGATCCTTTGCTACAAGCAATGAGCACTTAGGATTTGCCAACAAATTCTGCATGCATCAAATAATTTTCCATTAAAATACTGTAAAAGAAAAACCTTAAGGAAACAAAAAACGAGAAGTAGAATGCCGTAAAGTTATCCACAGAGGAAATTATCTAGTTCAGAATTATCTAGTTATCAAACCTTTGAATGGACAGCTAAGCTACTGACTGCTAGTATGGGAGAACCATCATGATCACATGCAAAATCAACCATGGATCCGGAAGGATAACCCTCGTGGACCTGCACATGTAAGTACGTAGCTTATGTCTGACGTTAGTTGGCTTTCAAAAGCTTGAATTGAATAACATGGAATGATCTATACGATCCATCGCTCAGAAGAAATATTTTTAGCACTAAGTTCCAGTTCAGATATCACTGAGAAATATTTTCAACCCTACATTTTCTCCACCAAGACTGTTCCTTGCAAAAGTCGCTGTGCACAGAAGAAGTCTAAACAACACTGATAACGAAATATGGACATATGCACAGATTTATACGTATACAAACTTGTACATGTAATCCCAAGATAAAGTAGATCAATAAGAGCATATACAGGAATATGAGCAACGTAAGCATAACTTAAGTCTTAATCCTACAAAATCAATGATGAATGTATAGAAAGAAAGAAAAAGAAATGCATATTAGGAGGCACACACCAGTCTTCACAAGAAAAAAAGTGCACCTCCTGTTTAAGTATACCTAATGGATCTATTGTTCAGTACTTAAAGCTGAAATGGACATATGCCAAAGTTGTCAACAAGCAGCTAATGGAGAATTATCGGTAATGCAAAATAATTTTTGTTACGAAATAAGGAAAGACCCAGTATGTCACATTGATTATATGATACATAGTTTTTCTAGTGTACATCAAACTTATGAAAATTTGTTCATGAGCAGGGAATTAAGTCAACAACAATACAACTGTCAGACATAATAGACACCGACAGAGTCAACAGAGGTTCTTCAGTTTCCAATTACCGAAATACCAAAAGAGCAAAAGCAATGAACAGCAACAACAGTGTGGTATCTTCTCATGGCACAAGTTAATTTTAACAAACCAAGATTTGAAAAAAAAACTCATTGATTAAATTCAAAAGTTTATTTATCGAGTTCAAAGTGGTTGAATAAAGATACAATTAGCATAGGATAACAACATATAAATTTAATAAACTGATTGATTACACCAATCCACCTGAGAAAAGGTAGAGAGCATGCCCCGAGTGCTGAGATCAAGTAGTGTTCGTATTTCTTCAACAGGAGAAAGTCGAGCAGCAGCTTCCTACAATAAAAGAGAAAATTTAATCAATTCATGACGCACACAATTACAAAACTTAATGTGTGCCAATTACCTTCAAATCCATATCATTCAAGAAAACGTAACCACCATATTGATGCCATCTTCACATACCAAGTTACAAACTATTTATGGTGAATTTCCATGAGTTCAACGATAAGACCAAGCTACTTGTATCTCATTACGCTGCATTTAAGCTTGCTTCTCAATTTTTGTTCTCTTTAGTCCTTGATAATGTTCTCAAGCCACTAGCATTTTTAACAATTGCACACTCAATATAACTGATCAAGCACCAACGAACTTCGATAAGAAATTCAAAAGTAATTTCTTACATATCAGAATGATCATCCTCATTGACACCATATTAAACATGCCCACACACATGAAACACAGAATGATCATCCAAATAATCAACTGGAAATACACACCTGATGAGCACGAATCTTCTCGAAGGCATCCGAAACCCCCGTCACATCACCTGGCGCCGCCATCTGAGGTGAAAATTGATCGCAAATCGATCGGTAGACTGACCTCAGAACACGATTGATCGGGGAAGAAAAAGAATCGATAGCTTATCCAAATCCGAGGGATTATGTTGACCTGGGAGGAGGACGGCGATGCGGACGAGGCCATGGCGCGGGGGGAGAAGGCGGCGAAGAGGCGGCGGCGTGAAGGAGAAGAGAGCTTCGCTGAATGGGACAGCGGTTTAGTAAACGGCAAGCGATTGACGAAGGGGGAGACGAAGGAGGGCAAGCGGACGGGTGGCGTTCGCAGCACGGTCGTCATCTCCTCTACGCCGCCTCCACTCCACTCTCTTTCTCTCTCTCTCCGTTTGCCTATTCCGTTACGTTTTCTTTTCTTTTATTATATTATTTCCCTTTTCTTTAAAAAGAAAAAAAATAGCAACCATATCTCTCCCCACACACAACCCTATTCATGTACAATTTTGACATAATTTCTAAATTACCTAAAAAAATTTACATTCATATATTTCTGATTTTTTATGTTCATCTTTTGTATATTAAATTTATTTATCAAAATAGATTCAAAAATCTCATCTAATATATATTTACATCAAAAAATATTGGTCTACTAAATCCACATACTATGGATTAAGGTAACTGAAGCTTAAACTAGTCTTGTCATGTACTAATCACTGACCCAACATTAACAGTTCGAAACCTCATAATTTAGATTTAGTACATAATAAATAAATATATAAATACTTTAAATTTAATTAAAAATACATTTCTTTTCACAGAACTTAATGACAATAAAAGATCTCAAGAAAAGTCTGTGCTTTGTTTCATTCTAATCCACGAACATAAAAAGAAAAAATAACAAGAAAGAAAGAAAAAGTTGATGATGGAGTATTTCTTGCCAATATGATACATAAGATATATCAATTTATGCAATCTTTTCTCACTCTTATCACTGGTCATACCAAAGGAGATCTTATTGGGGGTGTAGAGGCACATCAATTGGCAAAGCTCTATGTGTGCACATGGTGATGTATGAGAGAGAGGAAACAAAATGTCAAAGCTCTAAAGACTCAGTTTCTTCAAGGCTAAGTTACAGGTGACAAAGACCAATACAAATTGAATTCCAAATCCTTTGCACCCAGAGTTGCTTTCAAGTTTCATCTTTGTGTTGATGGTGCTGGGGACTCTGTAGGTCAACTGTAACCATGACAGAGAAAGGAGCAGAGCCATGGAGGTATTAGGTGAGCTGAAAGTATAAAGCATAAATTTGGAAAGCAGCTGACCAAAATACAAGTATCCATAAAGCTTTATTTCAAAGTTGAAAATTGCTTTCAAATCAATCCAACCTAAATTTAGAAGTTGCATGTATCCTTCTTTTTTGACATCTACATAGTTTTTTCATCAACACATAAAATAAAATAATGATGTGGTAATACACCTATCAAGTATTGAAACTTTATTCGATATTTTAAAAATATCAATTAACTTAATTGATAGTAATATTCATTCATCATTTACCTATGCATAAAATAAATAAAAAAATATTAGGAACATAATAATCTAGATATTAATATTTTGCTTTAGTAGAATGGATTGATGAGATCCCTTGGTAGGGGCCATAGCTCAACTTCAATTTCACATTCGCAATACCAAGCAAATTCTTAGTCATCTATCTTTTGATTCACATCATAGAAGCTGAGCACTTCACTTCTTTAGGAAAGAAGTGAAGCCTCCATCACAAATTGTTGCTCAACACACTCAGTTTTTTCTTCTTCTGAGGAATGAAGTGCAGAGCAGTAATGATAATATACTTTCTCATCAAACAAAACCTTCCTGCATATAATTCATCATTTGTAGGTGGAAGCAAACCAGAGATTACTGGGAACACATGTCTGCCCAAAAGTCAAACTTGGTCCTCTTGATAGAGTGTAAGGGGGAACATTTCAGGCTTAATGAGCAAGTTTTATTCATCAAATAAACTACAAAAAAATAAAAAGGTCCTCCTCACCCCCTTTGATTCATTCTGAATCACTCTCCATACACATAGCCTTCAATCCTCTCCTCCTCTGCAAAACAAGAAATCATAAGTGAAAATTAAGCTCTTCGGGCATCATGTTCAGAACCAAAGAAACAATTCAATAGGCACTTTACTGAACTATATTGAGGTAAGGAGGAAGAGCAAGAGAGAAGATTTGTAAGTTCAAAGATAATATATACCTTTCTCGATCCCTTCTTCTCCCTCACCTCATACCTCTCCTGAGAAAGATCTGAGAGCCATGCCCCTGGACTCACCAACTGCGCCGAATCCAACAAGAAAACAAAGGAAAGAAAGCCTTAATCCTACTTGTATGAAAATAAGGGAAAGAAGATCCAAAATTTGCCCAATTTATATGTCAAGGGAGGCGAGAGGGAAGAGAGGAGCCATACAAGTATGCATTTTTGGACGAACTTGGACCTCTTCTTGGGTCTCTGAGGCAGCTTACACCCCTTCATGGCCATGAAATCCTCCTCCTTCTCCTTGTTCGACAGCGAGACGAAGAACCTGGGCAGCACCGCGGCGCCTCTCTCGTCCCCGACTCCGCCGCCGGCCCCGTTCTCCCCCTCGCAGCCGTGCGCCACCGAACCCCTCGTGGTGTAGCAGCGGTCCTCCTTCTCCGGCGACAACGACACAGAGCGCGACCTCCGATTCTCGCTCCCAGCAGACTCCGACCGCCTGCCGAGAAATCCGGGCATTTATTAGTCTATTTCCTCACCGGAGACGCCTAGAACGAAACCAAAATCTCTCCTTTTTAGTTCGTCTGGTCGATTTACCTGTGGGGGAGTTGGGCAGGGCGGTGAAACCGCGGCGTGGGGAAGTCCTTGTCGCCTCCGGTGACAACGCGGCGGTTGATCCGGGACGTAGCCCGCCTCCGGCCGTCGGATTTAGCCGGGGAGCCCTCGTCCCTGACCTTGACGCAACGGAGGCGCTTGCGGCTTCCCCACTGCAAGGGGAAATCAGGCTCCGGAGGAGCCGCTCTTAGAGGGGCACCTCTCTGCTCCTTCGATTCCTTCTCCATCTGCACAAAAGAAGCCCCCCCCCTCCGGTTAGTCTCAAGCAAAAGACAACCACAAAACGCCCTTCTCCCACTCCAAGATCTGATCTTTCTGCCGAGAGACAGCGGGAAACGACCAAAAGAGACAGCTTTACAGATCTCCTCGCTGTTTCCCTCTCGCAAGACCGATGATAACGCGGGATTACAAGGAAAAGCAGATGGAAGAGCAGAGGAAGGCTTACGAGAGGAGCAGCTCCAAAATCTCACCCACCCAGTTCTTTCTCCTCCTCCTCTTCTTCCTCTACTTCTTGCTTGGCTTGTGCGTGTACCAACCAGCCACATATCGGCGAGAGATTAATAGAGCTGTTTGAGCCGCAATTTGGACCGTAGGTTTTCGCATGGACGAGTAGATGATAGATGCTGGCTATAGGAAATGCTTCGTTTCCTATTTTGTTCTGTTTTGGCGCCTATTAGGTTATCCACACCGGACGGTGAGCACACCACATGTATTATGTTCAAAATTTCTATATACATCACTGATTTTTTTTACAACTAATTTTTTAATACTTCAATTGGAAATCTAAAATTAAGCTCAATTAAGCTCTCTACAATCTATGTTTCATTTATTCATCTACTAGTTTTTCTATATTTAAATTTAAATTTTATTTTTTTTCGTAAAGAACAAGTAAACATTTATCCGATAAAAAAAATAGCTAATTTGAGTTTAAAAAATATATATATATATATTTTAATATTTATTTTAATTTAAAATGAGTTTTTAAAGGGTATTAATATCCTATATGAAGTTTTTATGTATAATAAAATAAAATTCTAATGGGTAAATACGAAATTTAATCATTTGAAAGATATATATTTTCAGAAAAAAGGGGGTTTTCAAGCTTTCTTTTTTCTAATCATACTTATTATTAGACGCTATATATTTGAATTGATTCGTGTCCCGTCTGGAGTAACGACTTAGATCCCGAGAAAGGAGTCGACCCATATCCACGAACGTTCCACTCCGGCCCACCACATCCTTCTACATGATTGCCTCCCGTTCTCTAACTCGTGTTCTAAGCCGGTGACAAAGTTCGGAGACCAATGTGTGCGCTGTCCGCCCTCGAGCCTCTGTGATCGGCATCCCCAGCGGTGTCAGAATCTGCGGGGCCTTCGTGCTCGGCGGCAGCCGCCGGAGCGTCGCTCTCCGCCACGCCGGTGGCCGGACGACTGCCGCCTTCGCACCCCTGCCTCGATGGAGGAATTGCTCGACAACTTCAATTGCCTCGGAAAGAAGTCTGCCCTCTTCGGCGTTGCCTTCTAATCTTCCCAAGGTGCGATCTTTTTTGGCTTCTTCTTTTCTTCCTCTCCAATTTGTCTCGCTCCACCTTCTCTTCTTTGTCATTCAATTTGAGAACGAGAGAATCTACGAGGCTGCAGACGATTATAAAGGCAAAGAGCATCACTCATGTTGGCATGTAGATGATGCAGAGCATCTGAAACTACTATGTGTTGGTGAAATGATACAAAGGAATACTAGCACTGAGAAGCGGGTTGGCCGTTCACCAATAAGTTAGCTGATTAAGAGCATTAAACACCATGCACCATCTCAGCCATTTGAGCTTGCAATTTTCTTCGCCATAATTTCCTAAATCTTTGCTTTGTTAGATTATCTACAATCTTCTGGTAATCAAATCTGTCTTCCATTCGTTGACTTCATGTATTAGTCAATGTTGATGCAAAGACTGTAACCATTGAAGGTGTTGTGTTAACCTAGTCGAAGCCTCATGAAGTTTTCTTTCATGAAGAGGTTCTTTTCCTTTTGCATTTTTTCTTTTCGTATGACAGATTTCTCATTCACATGGCAGACAGCATATCAAGTATTTCAATTAGTGGTGAAATATAAGAACAATCGAATACGTCAATGGCTATTATGGATATCATCGCAGGAAACAACATGCCTTGATTGCAATGATTAAGTCGGCATTAAAATTTTTTGCTTTTAATGTAATTTATAGAAGTTGATGATGGACCTTGGTGTCATAGTAAAAATGCTACTATGCAATCTAGGTGGTAAGGATTCGGATCACGGAATCAGTCTCTTAGGAGTAAATTCAATTACAATATCCCCTCCCTATACCCCATATCGGTGGGAGTTTTATACACTTAAGAACATGGAAGATATGTCTAGGATTTAAGAGAGGATTATAAAAGATCATGTCCCAAGTCACTTGCTACATATATTCGTATAAAAAGAATCTATCAGAAAGAAGGTTATGTTAGTTGCTAGTTAGAAGTATAAATGACTGTATCTTAGTCACTAATATCCAATCTACAGCTACTGCTTGGGTCCTGTAAAGTATTATTCCTTCCCAAATAATTCGGCACAAGTTGGAAATATCCTACCATGAATTTGTCGCTAAATTAGCTACTAATGTAAAGTACTTCACTGTTGTTTATAATTACAGTTCTAACAACCAATCTCAATTTATGTTAAAGACATTTTTATCAGAGTGAAGTTTGGTTTGTAGAAGCAGGTTGTTGGAGATCGAGTAGTTTAATAATTTTAAGACTTTGAAACTCTATGTAAGTTTAAGCTAGCGTGCTCTATACTTGGTTTACTCTTATTATATCTAGGAGAATTATCGTGGCCCAGTTCACCTCATCGTCTTTGTAACTTTTATTTATTTTTTTTACTTTTCATCTCAAGTAGTAGTAGCAGTCTTAATTGCAATTTTATATATAGATTCAGGTTGCAACAATATGGTGGACACTACAAAAAAAATTCGATCACTCTTATTTGCATGACTTCTTTGAGTTTCTTTCCATATTGTTTCTCTTCTCTAGTTTTATGTATTAGAATCTACTTTGTATGGATAATAATATTCCCATGTTTTTGCCTCCCAAGCATTTTGGGTTGTGTCTCCTATGGCAGGGGGGGATTTAGTAGTCTGTACATTGTAACATAATTGGCATTCTATGATAGCTTGTACATGATATGTCCTGCAAAAAGATCCAATATTTTATTCACATGTAGTTTTGAAGATGATAATTAGCACCATTATAGTCTTGGTGTTTCTCTGATCACCATGTGAATGAAGTGTTATATAATGCAAAGATAAAACAAAACAAAGGATTTTATCCATGTAACACCTGATTAATTTATATGCTGTTAAGTGAATGAGCTATTATCTGTCCTTTTTTTTTCTTTCCCTCTGTCCTTGCCTTTTCCTCATGGTGGTGGATGAGTATTATCTAGAGTATTGATAAATAGCAAATGTGATGTCTACAGTAAATGGGTTATTGCAAGGGGCAATATCCGTCTATGGTAACAATTGTCCTCCCTTGGATGGAATGGACCAAAATTGATTGAATCTGACCATTTGTTCAATTCTTATCTGCTATGAATGACTTCTTGCAATAGGGCAAAGGAATTGGCCAAGATTAGCTTCGTCTTGAAATGGCACTGCAAACGATTGAACTATTCTCTTTGAATTGGTTGATACTATGAATTACAGTGTAAAGTCAGCTTTTTATAAATCATTATATTTGTGAGTACATTGGTTAAAGCCCAATGGTTCCATTCAACCTAGCTGTTACGTTGGACTGTGGTCAGGTTAACTCTAGCTGGCTAGCAGGTGGAGTTGATCTTGGGTCGAGCAATATGTTTCTTAATTCTAACTTTCATTTTAGTTTGATTCAACCAGTTTAATTTTTCTTTGAAGGAATCTATAGATATTGTTTGACCTCGCCAACTCATTTGTGGAAGTCAAGCAACCTTGGCTCCAATCTGGGATGGCAACATGAATCAAGTTGCAAACAACTCTAATCTTATTCTACAGCTTAACCCTGACCTAAACTGTTGCAAAGGCTGCCCATTTCATATAGAATTGCATTTGTATGTCAAACATGTACATGTCTAGCTGTAACAATGGATGAACAAATTTCCAATGACTTGTTTCTGGAATATTTTTCACTGCAGATATAATATACTCTTTTTTCTTATAGACGATATCTGTTTACAAGCTTAATAAACCATGTGGATAGTTTACATGTGGCCAGAAATTTTCTGCTCTCCTATTTTTCTCTATCGAACACTATCGAGTAAACCAACAATATTTGACTTGCCATCGAGGTTGTCAATCTTCATTACTTTATCAAGTGTTTGAGAGTGAGATTGATATAAAATTTGAAAATCTAAACCGAATGATGTCTACATCTCCTTTATTAAAAATCAAAGCAAATTCTTTCTCTTTTTTTCAATGTTTAGGATATTTGTTTAACTATAAGTTGTCATCATATCAATAAAAATACTCATCGTCTTGGCTTTATGCATTCATTCTTTACAGCTTGATTAAGATGACTCATGATACTGAGTTTACTGAGGCAAAATTGCTTTCACATCTCTCCATAGTGATCTTTATACTCTCTGTATTTATGTTTAGTGCATATATTCCTACAAAATGGAGAAATTTGCATATGTATCTTTATAGTTAATATCTGGCCAATTTTCATTTGATTGTTTGAGGATAGATGTTTAATTTCTCATATCATATTCTCCTGAAGATTTTTCATAATTTAAAATCTATTATTCTGATGGCAGCCAATCTCAGTAGCACGAAGTCTTCTTGCAAACTGTGGTTCCAGCATATATGGTAGGTGAAAGACTTCAATCAGAACTCTCTCTCTCTCTCTCTGGCCTGCACAACCTGTCATCAACATGCGCCTTGGCCTTCATTTGGTGCATCCATTCACATTTCTCTACTCATTTCGTTCCAATTCATCAACAGCCGTCCTCCTGCAATCTTTGACCGCTTCTTTCCTCCTTACTAAGTCAGGCCTCTTCCTTCCTAACCACGCAAAAACAACACGCCAAAATAGAGCCCACCCAACCCCCTCTCCCCGCTATATAAACCCCACCTCCCTCTCTCCCTCCACCACATCAAGCCATTCCCAGTTCCATCTGCTTCTCTTTCCTTCCCAAGCCAATCGTTTCCCCCTTTCCGAACTCCCATCGCTACCGACAATGGAGGCTGGTCGTAAGCTCGTGCTTTTCACCGTGGCCATGATGGCCGTGGTCATGGCTTCTTCCTTGGTCGAGAAGGTGGCCGCGGTCGATGCTCCCGCCCCCAGCCCCACCTCCGGTGCCGTCACCGCTCCCGCTGCACCTGCTGCCGTCCTTGCCTCGATCTCCGTCCTCCTCTTCGGATACTTCCTCTGCTGAGCGACACAGTTTTCTCCTTCTCTTACTCGTGGTTCCTTCATTTGTTGTTCTTCTCTGTCATGCTTGTATTTGGTCTGATACGTTTTGGAGGAAGAGGAATACGTAGGAATTGATATCTGCATATGATGGTGAGGTGGTAAAGGATATGTAACATTGTATTTGTGTTTGATTATGTTGATCTGAGTTATTTTTCGTGGTTACAATTACATGAAATGATAGATTGTATTGCCTCATCACTCCTCTCATTGTGATTTGTCATGTTTGTGGGTATGAATGAAGTCGTGATTTCAAACACATGATTAGGAACAGTAATCTTACTGTTCTTCCCCCTCAGAGTTAGGAATAGTAATCCTAACTCTGATGGAAGAACAGCATCGTAGGCACATACATATAATAAAGAGCAGATCTAATAATCCCATACTCTCTCAAATTGCGTCCAGTAACCGAGAGAAAGAGAAAGACTATAGCTAGAACAGTATCCACCTCCTAGGCGTACTTTCACTTGCCATAACCTGCCGTCGAACAAGCAACAATCATAAGCAAAGAAAGAAAGAGCCAAGAAATATCCATGCGAGCGTACTGGGGTCGGTGAGGACGATGAGGCCAGTACCATTGAAGTGGCAGTTCCAGGAGTTCCTTCATGGCCACGGAAGCATGGCTAATGAGTCGGTCGGGGAGGAAGCACGCACAGCGCGACGAGGTTGCAGTCCGCCATGGAGCAAGCATAGTGCAGGTTGTCCGGCCGAACGCTTTGCCACAGACCACGTTTTCTGGGGAGGACGACGACAGAACATGTTCGTCGTACCTGCCAATTCACTGTCTGCATGCATGGGGCTGATGATTCCGTTAGAAAATAAATAGATAAACAAGTTATAGAAGAAGTTGATTGTTATTAACATATCCCCTTCCTTTTATATAGATTAGAAAGGAGAATTTTCATTAACAGATTAGAGGATTTCCCTCATCCTTAACAGATTGATCAGCCGTATGAACATGAGAAACACGAAGTTGACGACGGACAACTTGATCGCGTACAAAATGGAAGTCAATAGCAATATGTTTCATACGGGAGTGGAAGACCGGATTAGCGCACAGATAGGTAGCTCCAATATTATCACAATATATTGTAGGGGTGGAATCGATGTTGAGTTCTTGGAGTAGATTCGTGATCCAATTGAGTTCTGCAGTGGTAGCGGCAATGACACGGTATTCAGCTTCGGTTGTAGACCGTGCATAAACTGTGATAATTTATTGACAGCAAATGAGATGTTTGGACGCGTGAGAGCTAAGTATTATAAAGAGCCAACAACTTGGCGGTATTGAGTGGGTTCCATAGCAGGACTTCCATCCGATAATTTGAGAGAACCACTAGTAGAGATGGGGGTTGTAACTGCATTTGCATCCTACATGTTTGTCTTTAATAACAAATCTTGAATGTACTTGCGTTGTGATAAAAGGAGACCGAAAGAAGTGAAGGTAGCTTCGACGCCCAGAAAGTAGCTCAAGGGTCCGAGATCCTTAAGTGAGAATCGAGCTGCCAACTGTTTGATGAACGCTTGGATGCTGATGGGATTGTTGCCTGTGACAATAATATCATCCACATATACCAGAATATACATTATGTTTCCATGATGATGTCGCAGAAACAACGAAGTGTCAGATTTGGAGTTAAGAAAGCCGACAGAAGTAAAAAATAAGCTAAGTTCAGTATACCAAGCTCTTGGAGCCTGACGAAGTCCATAAATGGCTTTCCGAAGTTTGCAAACATGATGTGGATACTGAGGATGAGTAAAACCGGAGGGTTGTTGCATAAAAACATCTTCGGATAGAGATCCCTATAGAAAGGCATTATTAACATCCAATTGTCGTAATTGCCAGCCTTTAGTGGTAGTCAGACTCAAGATAAGCCGGATTGTAGTGGGTTTAACAACAGGACTAAACGTCTCAGTGAAATCAACTCCAGGTCATTGATGAAACCCTTTGGCGACCAAGCGTGCCTTATATCGGGCAACAGAGTCATCTGGGTTCCGCTTAATTCTAAAAACCCACTTACACCCGATGATGTTTTGTGAAGGATGGAAAGGAATGAGATCCCACGTTGAATTATGGAGGAGGGTATTATATTCCTCACTCATGGCAGTACGCCAATGCAGAGATTTTTGGGCTTGAGTGAAGGTGGTGGGTTCAACGTTAGGGGATGAGGAATTCATGATAGCTTGTAGGTTAAGTACCTGACGAGGTTTAAAAATACCATGCTTAGAGCGAGTGGTCATAGGATGATTGGAGACGATAGGATTGGGAGGTGATGTTGGGTGAGGATCTGTGGCACAAGCCAGGTCAAATGGAGACACGTCAGGGGCACTTGGGCGAGAAGGAGGTAAAGAGGATGGTTATGTTTCGGAACATATTGCCCCATCAATTGGGGAAGAGTGGAGTGGAGTAGGAACAGAGGAAACAGGCAAGTGTTGAACTGGAGTGATATAGTGCGGATCAGGAGGGGAGGAAGTAGACGAAGTCATGGGAGGCTCGTCCGATTGGTCCGAAGGTATACTCCAGTAAGATAGGGAAGTGGTCCGTATGGCAGGATATGGAAGGGTTTGAAAAGGAAAGTTAGACTTAACAAAGACAACGTGACGTGATATGAAGATTTTGTGAGTGTGAAGATTATAGCAGCGGAAAGCATTATGTTCAAGTGAGTAACCAATAAAGACGCAAGGAGTAGAGCGGGATGTTAACTTATGAGAGGCATAGGGACGTAACCAAGGATAACATAAACAACCGAACACTCGGAGTTTACGAAGGTTAGGAGGTTTGTGAAATAATGTGTCAAAGGGGGACTGGTATTGTAGAACTGGTGTAGGCATTCGATTAATTAGATAGACAGCAGTTTGAAAGGCTGCTGTCCAAAAAGTTGAAGGCATAGAAGCCTGATGTAGAAGTGTGAGTCCAGTTTCTACTATATGCCGATATTTGCGTTCGACAGAACCAACTAGTTGAGGAGTATGTGGGGGAGACCTGAGGTGTTGAATGCCACAAGCTGAGAGATGGGATGCCAGGGCTTGATATTCACCACCACCATCAGAGTAGACTGTTTTAATGGTAGCCTGAAAATAGTTTTCGACCAATTTCTGGAAAGTGGAAAAAATGCGAGAAACGTTAGATTTATGGGAAAAAAGATATATTCATGTGTACTTAAAGAAGTGATCTACAAAAATAACATAAAATCGGAACTTATCAAAAGATAAGATTGGAGCAGGACCCCAAACATCAGTATATATAATTTCAAAAGGTTTAGAGGAGGAAATGGAAGATGAGCCAAAAGGCTGCCGATGACTCTTATTACTAAGACAAGCATCACAATGCATCATAGAATTAGTGGACTTAAAAAGAGGAAGAGAGTGACGAGATAATAACTTCTGCTGAATAAAGGACGAGGGATGACCAAGCCGACGATGCCACACATCAACTGGAGCCGCAATAGAAGAATGAACAGTGGACTGGGTTATTCGAGAGGCTGACGGTCATTCGTAAATGTTGTCTTTATTTGGGCCTTGGACCAATGATGCCCCCATGCTCAAGTCCTTAACAAGAAATGAATCAGGAAAGAATTCAATGGAAGTATTGTTATGTTTGCAAAATTGAGAAACAAAAATGAGGTTGCGTTTAATATGAGGGGCGCATAAAACATCATCGAGGGTAAATGTATTAGAGTCAGAATTAAGCGATGTGGAACCAGTATGAGTTATAGGAAGTCCTTTACCATCACCGATGATGATATCTTCATCGCCGCCATAGGGATTGTGAAGAGACAAATTCTGAAGATCAGCGGTGATGTGATGAGAGGCACCAGAGTCGACAATCCAGTTGGACTGGCTAGGTGTCGGAGAAGTTAAGAGATTTGCCTGAGGCCAGTGTGACGGAGCAGGGAGGCGGGGACGAGACCGACAAACTTTAGCGGAGTGGCCGACTTTGTCACACAGTTGGCAAACGACCTGTCTTTGATGGCTCGGTAGGGCAGGATGCCAAGACGGATGATGGCTAGAGTTGCCACTTTGCGAGAAGGGATGACTAGGAGGATAGGAGGGGTGTTGCATGGAACTCACAGAATCAAGAGGCACATTAGCCAAACCTTCGGTGATGTTCGGCAAGTACCGAGTGCTCTTCCGTTTAGACTTGTGACTGACTTGAGCTGTGACGGTTGATCCAGGCAGTTTGTCCGCACGTTTCAAGCACATCTCGTAGTCAGTCAGCTTATCATAGAGATCTTCAAACGAGACTGGTGAGTCGCGTGCCCGAATTGCAACAGCCAATTCCTTGTAGTCGGTGTCGAGACCATTGAGGGTATGAATGACAACCTCTTCGTCACATAGGGAATGACCTATCGAGGCCAAGTCATCAATGATAACCTTGATATGTTGTAGATAATCAGAGATAGTACTTCCCTCTTGTTTTGTCACCATAAGCTTGGATAGAAGACTGAGCTTGCGAGTACGCGAATGATTTGCTAGGGTGGTTTACAGTGTAGACCATGCATTGGCAGTTGTCACACATGAAGATATCAAGGGAGCAACAGATCCAGCAACTGAAGCTTGAATAGCTTGGAGGATGAGATGATCTTGACGTAGCCACAATTTGTGAGCTGGATTGGGTACTGGACTGGGATCGCCGGGAATGTTGAGCATGGCCGGAAGACAACTGAAAGAGCCATCAATGTAACCTAACAAGTCGTATCCAAATAAAAGATTAGAAAATTGAGCTCGTCAGGATGCATAGTTGCCATCCTTTGATAACTTAAAGGGGATCAGTGTGGCAGCATTGATGGAGATAAGCCATGTAGAAGAACAAGAAGTGGGAGTCCCTACAGGAACTAAAACATCAGAAGAAGTGAACGAAGACTTTTTTTTTTTTTTTTGAGAAGAGATGCAGCGAACCTTGTGTGATACTCAGGTCACACAAGGTGGAGAATGAGGGAGGGGGCTGCTGCTATAGATTGCTGTAGCAGATTGTAGAGACTGTAGTTCACCGGAAGATGGCCACGAAAACTGCAACGGTACTCAAGATTGCGGTTCGCCGGGAAATGACCGCGAAAATCTGTAGTGGTACTCAAGGAAACTGCAGTGAGAGAAATCTGCAGCAATTAGATGTATAGAGGAAAGCGGCAGCGAAAGCTGCTACGGTAGAGGAAGGAAGATGCAGCGGTTGCGGCTGCTGCTGGCCGGGAAACGGTTGCGATAGTGAAGGAGGAAGACGCGGTAGCCGTCGTTAAGCAAGGAAGACCGAGCGAGGAAGACACCGTTGTTCACCATTCGTCACTATTGAGGAGGAGGACACCGCCGTTAAGGAGGCACCATTGTGTAGAGGGAAGCGGTAGTGAAGGCTGCTGCGATAGAGGAAGATGCAACAGTTGCAACTGCTGCTGGTTGGGAAGCGAGGAAGACACCGCTGTTCGCCGTTCACCGCTATTGAGGAGGCAGTGAGAGAATGTTTTCCTCCTTGCGTGACGGCGACGGAGAGTGTCTGCTGTAGGCAGCAAATAGGAGAGGGAGCAAGGCCGGCGAAGAAAAGCAAGACCGACGATAAAGAAAGAGGAGTGGATGAGCAGAGCCAAGACGGTGCTCGTTAGCATTGGCTCTGAATCCGTGTCTTGTGCTTCTTCAATGACTTCGCTTGAGGCAGCGTGTTACTGTGGCCGTGTCTTGTACACCAAGTGCGAGAACATTGTTGCTTGATATCAAGATCAGTACCAGAGGCGAGGAGGAGGACCATCAGAAGCAGCAAGAGCTTCCGAAGAGGGAGAGCCGCAGTAGCCATGGCAGCACCAAGGAGTGCAATTTGGTTAGTCTTTTGCATCAGATACAAAGGCCTTCTCCCTGACCAGTGTACCTGTCGCTCGTGCTTTTTCTGCTTCAGAGATGCTCTCAGAGAGAAAGCTCAGAGATTATATGCCATGGGTAAAGACTTCGGTCGAGCTTTTGAGGGTTGAATTAGGGGGCCATCTTGTTCTCTATCTACATGCAGATAAAGAGTGCATGATGATTAGGGTTTTTTTCTTTTTCACTTTTTTTTATATACAAATATTATTTTTGACCTTATAAATTTTTGAACGAATTTAGATCTATGAATCGGTTTCATGAGCCAATTATGATCAGTATACCGATTAGGATCAACGAACTTGTTCAAATCAAATACCTAAATGCTCCTCCATCTCTGTCTTCTCGTCCTCCTCTTTCGCTGCCTCCTCGTTCTATCCCTCTAATTATAAAAAAAATCTAGTATAATAATTGTTAAAATTATATTTTTAATAAAATTAATGGACTAATTAGAAATGAAAAGATTTATATATTGATCACCCTCAAACTTCTATCCACATAGATCTTATGTATAGAAACGTATTTTTATATTCAAATACACTAAAAAAAAGCTTAATCAAGATTTTGAAACATTTTTTATGTATGAATGGTGGACATGAATTTAAGTTTAAATTTATTTGGATTCATATATCCAAAAAAAAAAAAGATAGTGCTATTGCAGCACTATCAGACATAATATCAAGTGACAAGTTTTTTTATCATAATTTTTTTCCTCTTAATTTTTATGACATTTGTTGATGGGTGTGAGTTTTTTTAAAACACAAATCCTATTATTTCTTGACTCAAAATCTCTGACACTTCTGATAATAAAAAATTATATTAATAAAAAAATATTATATATATATATATATATATATATATATATATATATATATATTAGGACGTTGGAACTTAAAATACTCGGATCCATCCGTCACGGCAAGCGATCCGTAAAACCGTATTTTAACATCCATAAAATAATTCCAAATAAAAAATAGATGCACGTGCCGTGGCACGTTCCATTGGCCAACCGGTTTGTTTGTCACACGCACGCCGCCGACTCACGCGCAGCGGCTCGGTGCACGTAATGGCGTGGGCCCCACCGCCAGAAACCACTGGGGGCTCGGATTGAACCGTTTCTCCCTCTACCCCAGCGCTTCTGTGGACGACGAGCCTTCCACGTGTGCGCGTGGGTGAGTCGGAGTCGGCAATTCCTCGTCCCCCAACCCAACCCAACCCCCGAAAGCACCCCACCCAAATCCAACGAGCCGCAGGAAGACGCGATGGCCAGCGGCAGCGGTGGCGTGGGCCGGGGCGGGGGCGGCCGCGGCCGTGGTCGGGGCGGCGGAGGTCAACTCCCCGGCCTCGGCACCGGGATCACCCACAGGGAGTGCGAATCCTGCCGCGCCGCGCCCGGCATCCCCTTCTGCCGCGTCGAGTGGTCCTTCCTCTGCGCCGGCTGCGCCGCCGTCGTCCACGGCCAGAGCTGGATCGTCGCCGTCCCCCCCGGCCCAAACCCTAGCCCCAGTCTTAACCCCGTCGTCCCCAGCCCTTACCCTTCGCCTTTTGCTTACCAATACGCCTTCGCTAGCCCTAACCCTAACCCTAACCCTAGCCCCCCTCCTCCCCCTGCCGCTATCTCCGTTCCTAATCTTAACCCTAACCCTAGCCCCAACGACAATCTCAACCACGTGGTGCAGCTGTCGTCGGACGAGGACGAGCAGTCTGCTGGTGAGGACGGTGACGGTAGCGGCGGCCGAAAACGTCGGCGGTCGTCGGTGGAAGGGGAGAGTGCCCCTGGGCGGGAAGCCAGCATGATGAGGTACAAGGAGAAACGGAAGAGCCGGAACTTTGATAAGACGATCCGATACGAATCCAGGAAGGTGCACGCGGACATGAAACCGAGGGTCGGTGGGAAGTTTGTGAAGACGGCGGATGGTGTCGGGGAAGAAGGGGATGATGGTGCCGGTGGAGAAGGAGGGCACTATAGCGGTGGCGATGAGGTAAGAGCGGAATCGAGTGAAGAGGGTAGGGCCGATGCTGTCGAGGAGTCGACCGATCAAGGTGAACAGATGAGACCGGTGGAGGCTGGCGAGATGGTGGCCACAAGTCCAAGCTTTGAGGTGGAGCAGTTTGATGGAGGAGTGGACTTGGGGCAGATGGATGCCGGTGAAGAAGTGGGACTATTGTGAGTTTCATTATGAACTCGTGCTTGTTCTGTAGATTTGGGTTGCTTGCTCAAGAAAATATTTTTCCCAGATAGGTAAGCCAGAGCTTTTCTTTGTATCTCTATTCTTGAAATTGGCAATAATTGGTGGTGAAAGCTTTTGGGATCTGTTTGACCTTTCAGATAGTAGGATGGGATTTTGTACATTGTTGTGCTTTTCTCAAGTATGATCTCTTGCAAAGGTTTTTCATTGCATATTGTTGTAGACAGGGTTTGCACTTGGTTTTTGATAAATTGTGGAGTTGATGGATGATATATTAAAGATACATAATGGTGGAATGTGGAAAGCTTACTATCACCAAAAGCCTTGTAGGAGATATTAGTACACCACTAAATTTCTTCTAAGTTAAAGCTGTTCTTGAGATTATTCTACAGTGGCGAGAAGCATTTTGTTCAAGGGTGACAATCTCAACTTAGCTTGATTTTACTATGAACTCTGCAGTTCAAAGCTCATCAAAACCACCAATATGTACTTTCTATTGATCTGATCTGCTTCCTTCCTGCCCCCTTCTCTCTCCTCCTCCGGGATGGGTATTAGACTCTAATGCCAAGACCATGAATCTTGCGTATCATTAGTTGTCTTAGATCAACAAGTGCTTTAAATATATCTTGAATTCCAGCTTGAGGTATTCCTCTCTCGTTTTCTTCTTGTCCCTTACCACCCCTAGCAGCAGCCAAGCAGTAGCGCTTATTTCATTGTACAGTTCAATGTGCTATGATATTCTTTTCATTCTCTCTGGTGGCTCTGGTGTTTTTTCATTCATCATGCTTATTGCTACTAGTGATTCTACTGCTTGACTGTTAGTTTGCATCGAAATCATAAATGCATCTAACAATGAAAATTTAGTAGCGTATCCTATAATGTAACAATATCCAATCATCTTGGGCCAACACCATGAAAGATTTCAAATGCACGGTTGATTCCTTCCCTTTTTTGGATATATAATTTTTTTTATAAAATATGCAATATGGGAGTATATTTAAAGTCATGAATTGAATAAATTATGTTGCTATTAATTTTCTTATTCATTTTGTTCTTTCGTTTTGTGACTTAATGATTTTAGTTATTATGGCCAAACTGCATTGGAAAATCCAAAGTGGCAAACAGTGAATAGTTTCTTATGTAAGAATCAAGGATTATTATATTGTCATAAATGATATGGTACAAGCGGTACATATTGGTTCGAGTGTGGGCCGATATGTGGACCACCTCCATTTCGGGCAATCCAATTAAAATAATAAAAAACCTGAAAAAGTGGTGGGGTCTTGTCTTCTAAGTCAATGTTAAATAAAGAAAAACAAATTAGGGCTCACGCGTCTCGATGCTGTTGTTGTTGTGTTGCCGCTTTGATGGTGTTGTTGCTTTTTCTCCTCCTCTTCTTTCTTCTTCTTCCTTCTTCTTCTTCCTCCACCACTTCATCTTCTTCCTTCTTCTTTCCTCCTTTGTTCCTACGCCTCTTCCTCTTTTTTCTTTTTTTCTTTCTCACCAAAGCATTGGTACATATCGATGTATCATGTGTCAATACACCAGTATTGATCGGTATGTACCGGTCTAACAGATCGCTAAGACGGGTCCGGTATTTGAAACAGCAAACCTTACTAAGAATTACATAGATGATGAAAGATAGAACCCAATTATAAATAAAGGAAGATTTCATGTTTGCAACCAATTGTAGATTTCATGAAATTAGATAATGTGGTCATATTGAAGTTAAAAAACCAAAAAATGGAACACTAGCTATGCCCGTCCTTTCACAATGTACTGCAAGTATCAGAAAAATGACAAGAAAAGTTCTTGATGTTTTCCACTAGCTAATAGTAGGTATGTCTATTTCTTGCAAATTGATGATTGAGAAAGTATAGAAATAGTGATCTTGAAATAATTTCACGATCTTTCTTCTTTTTCAATGTTCCATGTTGAATTTTATTTTTGGCCAATTGTGCAATTAATTTAAGTCATTGTTATCATATGTCTCACCTTGCGTTCTTATCATGTTCTATTGTGGAATTATACATTGTGTTAATAGATAAATAGATATTTCTTGTTTGTAGATGATTATCACCTTCGCTATGTATGGGTAGATGATTTACAAGAATTAGATACTGTCTATGTAACTTAGGATCTTGATTCTTATTGTGAGTAAATACCAAGATCTAATATTTTGACAACATAGTGTATTTTGGTTAATTGTTGGTGCAACATGTGCTAGTATATTGTGCCATATAGGCTGTTGAGCATCTGCAGTTGGTCTGGCTTAGAGCAATGGCCTAACCATATGGGGAAACAAAGAGGGCAGAGAAAGTGGGGAAAGGTGGAAAAGTTGATATGTACTATTGTTCAATATTACTCAAAGCATATCCATAGTGATGTTGGTGCAGCATAGGTTGATCAAAGGATGGGTAGATTTAGATGTGATCGAATCACCCCTTGCTCATTTTACCCCTTGCTTTTTTTCTCCCCCTTCAATAAGCAAGCTACTACAATGCACACCTGACCAATTTTTGTCAGATCAACCCTAAATCTTTAATATCCGCTCTGACATGAGAAACTCTTTTTGCCTAGTTATACCAGGTTGGTGTGGTTGGCCATCATTAGCCTTGATGTTCATCATACCTGTGTTGTAATGAATATCACTTTGTTAACTTTTGTCATGTTTGATGCTGGTGTGTAGTGCACTATCGCTCAGGAATGTGAATGAACTGTTGATCAAGTTCAAGAATGTGACAACTGGACT